AGTCATACAGGTTTGGAATGACATGAGAGTGAGTAAATGATGACAGAATGTTCTTTTTTTTGATTGAAATGACTCTTTGATGATTATTCCTCACTGTAGGTTTGTTGTATTATGCTGGTCATGGTTATGAGAACTTTGGGAACAGCTTCATGGTGCCCGTTGATGCCCCAAACCCATACCGCTCAGGCAACTGTCTCTGTGTTCAGAGCATTCTGAAACTGATGCAGGAGAAGGAGACTGGACTCAATGTCTTCCTCCTGGACATGTGCAGGAAAAGGTGTGGATTTTGTGGTTTTAAAATGCGGGATAACAAATCATATTCACATTGGTATTTCATACATTGGTTATCATCATTCTAACAATAATATATCGCTTCAGAAATGTACATGATGACGCCATGCCAAACGTTGTGCTCAAAGTTACAGCCAATATTGTGTTTGGATATGCCACGTGAGTTATAGAGTGTCTTTCTTTTTCATCCAGAAATAACATGCTGCAATACATTTTGTTTTCTCTGACATGTTATGTTGTGATGTATTATTTTTCTGAAGTTGCCAAGATGCTGAGGCTTTTGAATTGAGTTCAAGTGGATTCACCAATGGAGTCTTTATTAAATTCCTGAAAGAGCGCCTCCTAGAGGATGAGAAGATAACTGTTCTGCTAGACAGAGTGGCTGAAGGTGAGGGAACCTTGAGCATGTTAAAGTTAAATGAAGCATTACAACTTTTATTAGTTAAATGCAGGTCCATTTAAGCTCAAACAAATGATTATCTGATTTGAAAAGTGTACTTCTACTTTCAGTACTTACTCACTGTGACTACTACTTCTACTAACGATAGTAATAATTTCCCATATTAATTTCAATTCATATTTCATCTAACTCGTGTTTGGTTGCATGTCATGATTGCTTGTAGATATGGGTCAGTTTGACCCCACAAAGGGTAAGCAGGCTCTAGAGATCCGCAGCAGTCTGTCAGAGAGACGTTCCCTCACTGATCCCATCCGCCCCGGGGACTACTCCGATGCAGCCGAGGCACAGAACCTGCTCTGGTCTAAAGCACATGGTATTGTTAGCTACTTCAAAATATTGTGCAACTCATATAAATAACCATATAAAAGAGGTTCACAGTCAAATGTATATTGACGTTACAAAAAAGGCATATACAGTATCTCACAGAAGTGAGTACACCCCTCACATTTTTGTAAATATTTTATTATATCTTTTCATGTGACAACACTGAAGAAATTACACTTTGCTACAATGTAAAGTAGTGAGTGTACAGCTTGTATAACAGTGAAAATTTGCTGTCCACTCAAAATAACTCAACACACAGCCATTAATGTCTAAACCGCTGGCCACAAAAGTGAGTATGTCCAAATTGGGCCCAATTAGCCATTTTCTCTCCCCGGTGTCATGTGACTCATTAGTGTTACAAGGTCTCAGGTGTGAATGGGGAGCAGGTGTGTTAAATTTGGTGTTATCTCCCTCACTCTCTCATACTGGTCACTGGAAGTTCAACATGGCACCTCATGGCAAAGAACTCTCTGAGGATCTGAAAAAAAGAATTGTTGCTCTACATAAAGATGGTGTAGGCTATAAGAAGATTGCCAAGATCCTGAAACTGAGCTGCAGCACGGTGGCCAAGACCATACAGCGGTTTAACAGGACAGGTTCCACTCAGAACAGGCCTCGCTATGGTCGACCAAAGAAGTTGTGTTCTCAGCGTCATATCCAGAGGTTGTGTTTTGGGAAATAGACGTATGAGTGGAGTGCTACCAGCATTGCTGCAGAGGTTTAAGGGGGGGGTCAGCCTGTCAGTGCTCAGACCATATGCCGCACACTGCATCAAATTGGTCTGCATGGCTGTCATCCCAGAAGGAAGCCTCTTCTAAAGATGATGCACAAGAAAGCCCACAAACAGTTTGCTGAAGACAAGCAGACTAAGGACATGGATTACTGGAACCATGTCCTGTGGTCTGATGAGACCAAGATAAACTTATTTGGTTCAGATGGTGTCAAGCGTGTGTGGCAGCAACCAGGTGAGGAGTACAAAGACAAGTGTGTCTTGCCTACAGTCAAGCATGGTGGTGGGAGTCTCATGGTCTGGGGCTGCATGAGTGCTGCCGGCACTGGGGAGCTACAGTTCATTGAGGGAACCATGAATGCCAACATGTACTGTGACATACTGAAGCAGAGCATGATCCCCTCTCTTCGGAGACTGGGCCGCAGGGCAGTATTCCAACATGATAACGACCCCAAACACACCTCCAAGATGACCTCTGCCTTGCTAAAGAAGCTGAGGGTTAAGGTGATGGATTGGCCAAGCATGTCTCCAGACCTAAACCCTATTGAGCATCTGTGGGGCATCCTCAAACGGAAGGTGGAGGAGCGCAAAGTCTCTAACATCCACCAGCTCCATGATGTCGTCATGGAGGAGTGGAAGAGGACTCCAGTGGCAGCCTGTGAAGCTCTGGTGAACTCCATGCCCAAGAGGGTTAAGGCAGTGCTGGAAAATAATGGTGGGCACACAAAATATTGACACTTTGGGCCCAATTTGGACATTTTCACTTAGGGGTGTACTCACTTTTGTGGCCAGCGGTTTAGACATTAATGGCTGTGTGTTGAGTTATTTTGAGGGGACAGCAAATTTACACTGTTATACAAGCTGTACACTCACTACTTTACATTGTAACACAGTGTAATTTCTTCAATGTTGTCACATGAAAAGATATAATAAAATATTTACAAAAATGTGAGGGGTGTACTCACTTCTGTAAGTTGTTAATGAAGATACAATTTTAGTTACTACTAGTAATGTGCAAGATGACAAAACATGTTAAAACGTAACAGACCTAACGCTATTAAAAAATGTAACACATTAAATTTGAGAACATTTGTTAAATTAAGTAACAATTGGAAAAAAAAAAAAAAAAACTTGATTAAACAAATGTTTTAATTTCATCATGACATGAGATGATTCCTATCATCTCATCTGACCATATTAACAGATGATAGTTCTCAATAAGTGAAACGGTACTGGAAATAAATATTTTTCTCAGCATTTGTCAAATTTTTGCTTTTGTGTTTCAACTCAGAACTGCCAGAGAGTAAACTTCTGGACTTTGAGTGTGGAGTCCAGATAAAAATGGACTTTGCTGCTGAGTTTTCTAACGTGCTGGTCATCTACACCAGCATTGTGAAAAAGTCAGAGGAGATGCTGTCGTGTCAGGCACACATAACTGACCTCCCTTTGGTTAGTGGTCTTTGTTTATATTTTGGAGAAAGAAAATGCAGTGTGTCATTATTTATTCATAAACACTACCATTAAAAGATGTGGGGTCAAAAAAAAGAATCTGTTTATTCTGCAAGGACACATTAAATTGATCAAAAGTGATAATAAAGAAATTTGTTACACACAATTTCTATTTAAAAATGCTGTTCCATTAAACTCTCTATTCATCACATTCAATAATGTATCACGTTTTCCACAAAAATATAAAGCAGCACTACTGTTTTCAACATTGTTGAAATGATAAGAAATGTTTTGTCAGTAATGATGTAGTAATGATGCTGAAAATTCAGCTTTGCCATCACAAAAAAAAAACTTTGTAAATCTAAATAATATTTCGCAATATCATAGTTTTTAGTCTATATTGTGATCAAATAAATGCAGCCTTGCTGACCATAAGAGGCTTCTTTCAAAAACATAAAAAATTCAAACTTTTGAACAGTAGTGTATATCTGCAAAAGTCAATCTGTCTAGTAATAATCTATTTTAATTATTTAGCTATACATATAAACTAATCTTTAAAAATAAGAATAGACTTAATAGGACTAATAGTATTCTTGTCAATATTCCATAATGTTTATATTGCATATATAGAAAACTAACATGATTGCAATAAATAATGCTTTTTTCCTATTACCTGACTTTGAAGGACCTGGATGTGGACCCTAAGCTGATGAATAAAGAAACTCTGGAGGAAACCGGAAGCTTCTTACTTTCAGGCAGTCTTCCTCATCACTGCCTCTACACCAGACTCAGCTCACTGCAGAAACTGAAGGTTCAGCTCAGGACTTCATCAACACATTAAAATCCAAAAATACTTTTTTTTAGCTAGATCTAGATCTGATTTACAATACGTTTAAATTAATTAAAAACTACCTTGATACCTCTTTTTCCTTCTCATGCTTTTCGTCTTGATTTACAGGAGGAACTAGCTTTCACTGTCTGCCTACAAGTTCAGTTTAACTCCCTAGATGAGCTAGTCCAGTGGAACATGGACGTTAGCATCGGCAAGCCCCTCACCGCCAAACTGGATCTCAACCGTCCCACCAGGAAGAACAGCTGTCAGCTGACGTGTCTCATTCCGCACAGCCCCTCGACCAGCCCCAGCCACAGCCCCGCGTCAGACCGCCGCTTCCACAGCCAGGGCCCCTGCTTCCCCCAGCTGTACGCCAACCCCTACCTCAACGTCTGTGAGCCTCTCCACGGAGCTGTAGGGGGTTATGGGGACTTTCGATTGTACGTTGACCATACATATCAATATGAGAATATGCCATGCTCACCCGTCCTGAACCCACCAAGTATTCCCATTGAGACCACTGATGACATTGACGACATGCAGAATGAGTTCATGAATAGTTTGCAGCTCTATAACCATCCCTGAGTGAGTACACAGTGTTAAACAGATGATTGAAGGGATACTTCACACAAAAATGAAAATTCTCTCATCATTTACCCATTCCAGATGTGTATGATTTTCTTTCAACCGATGAATAGTGAGTCTATATAATGCAAGTGTATGGGATCACCAAAGTTGGCACTTCAAAAACCACACAAATTGAACTTGATGGTAATCCAAACAACCCCAGTTATGGAAGCAAAAAGTTAGTAAATATTAGTGTTTTTGTCACATACATGTATTGTTTTGCTTCAGAGAACATTGAGTCCTCAACTGTGGTCGTATGGATTAAAGTCATGTTTGCTTTGTGTTGAAGCATCGACTCTGTCAAAAAAAATTAAAAGTTGTCTAAAAGGTTGTCAAAAACCTTATATGCATCTGGGATGGCTTATGGGCCGTTTACACGACAACGTTTTCAGCCAAAAACGGGAAACTTTTTATGCATTTTGACTGTTCGTTTACATGACGGTGACATTTTGGGGACTGAAAACGCATATTTCTGAAGTTTTTGAAAACGGCACAGTTATCGTTTCCGTGTAAACCCAATATGTGAATCTTTGAAAACGGTGATGTCATGCGCATGCGTAGTACGTGTTAGGCATGTAGACATGCGCAGTACGTATCGATTTTAAAGGCAAGCGCAACCAAACATACACAACAATGGCGGAGTATATGGAACTGTTGTTGCTGCTCAAGAGTTTGCTAACGCTTCTTCAGCAAAGTGTGGATTTACTTCACCAATATTACAACCAACAGCAGAGACGCATCATATAGTGAATTGGTGGGTTTTTGTTAAATGTGAGCCAAAATCATCACAATTAAAAGAACCAAAGACTTAAACTACTTCAGTCTGTGTGCACTGAATTTATTTAATACACGAGTTTCACAATTTGAGTTGAATTACTGAAATAAATTAACTTTTCCACGACATTCTAATTTATTGAGATGCACCTGTACATCATATAATCGTCACTTCCCTACAGGTACCGTTTACTAACACGGTGACAGCGCCAACTACTGGCCTGACATAATACAGCGTTTTTGCCCGTTTTCGCGGATATGTGTAAATGGAATCGTTTGAAAACGTTGTCGTGTATACGTTACATGCAGGTTCATGAGAAGCATGGAAGCACACGGGACCATCAGTTCTCGCACAAGCTTCAGAGAGCTTATATCATGCATAAATACAATGAAAGCGAACACACGGATGACAGCTGGTCTGAAGTGATTGTTTATCGTTTAAAAAATGAATAAATATTAGTATTTTTCTCTCACACATGTATTGATTAACTTCAGAGAACTTTGATTCATCATTTGGGGTTGCATGCATTACTGTCGTGTTTGCTTTTTGAAGCATCCACTTTGTTAAAAAGTCTAAAAAGTTGTGAAAAAAGTCATATACATCTGGGACAGCATTAGAGTGAATAAATGATGAGAAAATTGTCGTTTTGGGTGGAGTACCCCTTTAAGGACTGTGGGATTAGAATGTTACAGTTCAAGGGTGTGATATTTTCCATGTTAAAATACAATCTATAGATTAATGTCCAGTCTATAAATCAACTATAAGTAATTATTTCCTAGATTCATCACATTCTTATTGCATTTGCATTTGGTGATGTTAGCAGTGCAAAAATGTATCATCTCAAGTGGTTATGTCTCATTTCTAACAGTTTTCAGTCTTTACTTTCATGTGACTTAACTTATTACGGCTCCTTCAAAATATTTTAGCGTAAAGAAAATACTGTAACACTGTGACTGTAAGTATTTAGTCATTTTAAATGATCATTTATGTTACAAATCCTGTCACCTCATTACATCTCAAAACATCACTTTTTCATATGGATTTTAAAGAGATATTTAGAAAAATAACCTTTATTTTTAAATATAAAGTGCATGATTCAAATGTCATTATCTTTTAGCATGTAGATATTGGTCATAACTCTGACTTTGTAATTCAAGATTACTCGATGAGAAGGTCAATCACAATTTGATTAAAAAAGAAAAACAAGGAACAAAATAAAAACAATTAATTGATTAAAAAGAAAAACAAGAAACCAAATGAAAGAACTTAGAATAAATTCACAAATCCATTTCTGAATAATGACATTCATCTCTTAAAGTGTGATCAATATTTCTCAGAAAAAGGAAACTATTAATAGTTTCACTGCGAAAGCAAATGCAAGTCATCAAGATTAGACAACTAGATAACTTTGACTTCCTCAACACATTACATGACAGTGCACTTCTCCTCAGCCTTGGATTTCATCTCCACAAACGTGGCCTGAGCCTTTTCTTTGAGCTGCCCCATATCCATGTTCTGAAGGTTCTGCATTTGACCCATGATGGACTCCTTTTCCTCCTCCTGTGGCGCTTCTCCATCCACCATCTTGATCAGTTCTTCTGGCACATCAATGTCATCTCCGGCCTGCTGAATCATAATCTCATCCTGTTCACTCTGGAAAAAACAATCAGCACGTCAATCAAACCTAACAATTCAAATCTAATAGCACTTGTTTGCTTATACAGGTGCATCTCAATAAATAAGAATATCATGGAAAAGTTCATTTATTTCAGTAATTCAACTCAAATTGTGAAACTTGTGTATTAAATAAATTCTATGCACACAGACTGAAGTAGTTTAAGTCTTTGGTTCTTTTAATTGGGATGATTTTGGCTCACATTTCACAAAAACCCACCAATTCACTATCTCAACAAATTAGAATACTTCATAAGACGTATAAAAAAAAACATTTTTAGTGAATTGTTGGCCTTCTGGAAAGTATGTTCATTTACTGTACATGTACTCAATACTTGGTTGGCCCTCATTTTACATGAATTACTGCATCAGTGCAGCGTGGCATGGAGACAATCAGCCTGTGGCACTGCTGAGGTGGTATGGAAGCCCAGGTTGCTTTGATAGCGGCCTTCAGGTCATCTGCATTGTAGGATTATATACTAGGAACTACATTACATGCTTTAAAGGAAGCCTCAATTATGACTTTTATAAATAAAGCAGAGTATGATGTGGTAAAATTAGCGGTTTAGCTACTTCAATAAATGGTCACATTGTCTCTCAAGATACTGATATAGTACTCATTTGTTTTTTTAAATTATTCAAATGTTGATTAGAGCAAGGCAAAAATATTATAATAGTTTGGAAAATATTTATCTAGTTTAGTTTAGTATATAGTATTGTATACAGATACTGGCCATACCTGACACACTTCTTTACTTAGTTTAGCAAGCCAGTTTGATTGGGAACAATGAAAAATAAAAATAAGACATTCATTGAAATATCAATAAGCAAGCATTCTTTGAAATAAAGGAAAAGTAAATATATTGATTATAACACATGTAAAATTGGGTAACACTTTATTTTAAGGTGTCCTTGTTATACACATTACATGTACTTACTATTATAATAACAATTAATTATGCATAATTACATGCAAGTAACCCTAATCCTAACCATTTAGTTAGTACATTGAGTTAATTAATATTACTCAGTACTTAAATGTATAATTACACTGCAACAAGGACACCTTAAAATAAAGTGTAACCGAACATTGTAATGATTTAAGTTAATTTATTAATTAATTGTGTATAATTAGTAGTTTCTAAAAAATCTAAAGAGAATTTTATATCTTACAGTGTAGGAAAAAAAAGGAAATTATACCATTTGTCCCAGATAATTTCAGGTAAATATTTATTTTAATAATAATAATAATAATTTGTATTATTTTTTTCCATCTCAGAAAAAAAAAATCTGATCGAACACTCCAGATCCGGAATATGTGGTTACAGCTTTGCAAAATTGTAATAATTTGTAAATGTGTGATTTGTACTGTAGACCTGGAAAGGTCATGTAAAATAATAATATATTTTATACACTTTTATACATTTTCCCTCTTCGTCCTCTTTAGAATGTCTGGCATAAGCTTTCTTATTGATGAATCTAGACTTCAACAGATGTCACTCAACATGAAACTGCTAGTGAAACACACTGTTTGAAAACTCTACAGCAGTGCTTTTAAAGCTCACTTTAGAGATTAATCACTCTGGGCTTTAAGCCCTGAACATCCAGAGTCACTATTTTAGTTTACTGTTTTATGCCTTAATCTCCTGCCACAGTCTGCACTGCAACCTTCACACGCTTGATAGTTTAACCATCTCTGCAAACTGATGCTATTCATGTGCTGCTTAAGCAGTCAGTCGGGGACAGGAATAACTCAATTCAGCATTACTGAAAGGGATTCATTTATCTGATCCTGGGACTCTCACCTTTGGAAGTCGATATTTTTCTCTTAAACAAGTCCTCAGACAAGCTCTTTCTGCCTTTTTTGTATTGAATTCTGCATCTCTCTCCATCCTTTATTCCCAAAGAAGCAGGCAATGTACAGAAGATGAGAAACGCACAAAGAACGAATAGAAAATGAACAGGAAAGTGATACCAGCATCAGCCAAGAACTGTAACAACAATGTTATCAGAAAACAACCCAGCATCAGGGTACATCACATTTAACATATTTACAATAGGGGAAATACAGGGGACACAGTTTCTTTCACAGCTCAACCAATGTATTGTACAGTAGGCTTTATCTGAGTATCATGTGAAATATATACTTGACACTAATCAATTTTTAAATAAATGGAATGTTTGGAATGTTATTTGCTGATACATTTCAGTTCGTTCCATTTGAGAGTAATACTCATTGAGTTTATAAAATTATGAAAAACCTCCTGGATGAAATGGGCTAGAATATCCAATGTTTATAAAAGAGATTCAAACTTACTTCTCCTCCACCATCTGCTTCTGATACTCCTCATATTCTTCTCTGGACATTCCATCATGAGACATTTTGCTAGTTGTTCTTGTATCTTCAACTGGCTGATCACAATGAATGTGAACTGATGCTCTTTCCAAAAGAAAGATACTCTACTCCTTTCTTTTTTTCTGAATCAAGCTTTATTCTAGCTTCAGGATTGGTCTATCAGAGTAAATCCAATGAGAGGCTTTTCTGTGCGACAGCCCTGCAGTTGCATCATCAAGGACATCCTGACAATGACCCCGGCCAAAAAAAGAGTAACCATTTTCTGCCAAATTCCATCAGCTGGTCTGAGCTCTTTATTTCCATTGTCAGAAAATAGATTAATTAATCTTTTGTTCATCGTTTGCAACTTTGTAGTGTAAAAGCGACTTTCACAGAAAATTATATTATTTGTGCCGGATACTTTATGTCTTGTTTCTTACATATATATACTGTATATATATATATATATATATATATTTACATTTAGTCATTTAGCAGACAAACTAGCATTACAAATGAGAACAATATAAGCAATCAAAACTAACAAAAGAGCAACAATATATAAGTGCAAATGACAAGTCTCGGTTAGCCTAAAGCAGTACACGTAGCAAGGTATTCTAAAAAAATTTATATATATATATATACACATATACATACACACACACACACACACAAAGAAAAATAGAAAAAAATAGAAAGCTAGTGTTTTGTTTTGTTTTTTTAAATACAAAAGAAGATAGATAAAGTAGAATTAAGATAGAATAGAAAGTGCTAGAGTTAGAGGGTCAAATAAAGGTGGAACAGATGTGTTTTTAGTCTATATATATATATATATATATATATATATATATATATATATATATATATATATATATATATATATATATAATCTATGGAAGGATATTCCGGACTATTTTCAAAAGGAATTGAAAATTGTATTTTCAATTGTGTTTTCCATATGTGGACGCATAAATTGTGACATAATCCAAACGCAATTGCAAATCTTGCTTTCACAAACGCACAGTGACTGCCAAATTTCAAATGAAAAAGCATAGTCCATTTGCAACTGTATTTCCCATGTCTTACGAGTTACGAGCCTGTAATTAATTACCACGTCTGCTTTTTCACTCTCTCTGCGTCTCGCATGTAACCTGCCAAACTCAAATGCATTGGAATTTCCGCTGGTTTACCATAGACTGTATGTGGCTTACACGGAGACCTGTCAATCAGAGAGTCGGGGGCGGGGCGTCACTCACAGACGATCGCTCGTGCCGAATGCTTTGAATGATGGAGGTAATCGGTAAAGGCACCGCTAAAGGCAGCTGTCGATCCAATAGATGCGTGTGAACGAACAGACAGTGCAACCCGGGGCTCCTTATATTCCTGGCACCTTACACAATAAAAAATTGCGTCGTTTTTACCTCAAATGCAGCGACTATCCGCTGCTACCAGCGGGAGCCACAACGGTACGCACAACAGGTCAATATTCACCATTAACCAAACGCTTTTCACCTGTCTTAAGATCTCTCGCTGATTACACTCCGACTGATGCACGTGAGCAAACAGACAGTAATACGATCCTCTAGTACAGAATACTTTTCACAACACCGGAACGGCCCTTAAAATAAATAAAAGGCTACACTTATAACTACGTCCACATTTGTGAGGTGCGAATTGTAAGTGTTCGAACACTGCGTTGTGCCATCTCAATAGAGCGTGCTTTCCAATCATTTGATCAGTCAGGGCTGTGGCACTGACACTCGTGATTAATTTAAAACAGTCAGCTGCAAGCAGACACCAGTACTGCCAAGTCACCATGGCTGCAGAAAGAGAGGAGAAGGGAGGGGTGTTGGTGTCTCTGGGGACCTGCTTCTGAAAAAGACGCACCAGAAGAGATGCCTCGCCCTAGCCGCACACAGCACAGCTGCGGGGAAAGAGCACTCTTCTCCATGGCTAATGTCTTACATCTCACCTTACTTCTCCTCTGCTGTGATGGGATGAACACAGGTATGTGCATGTCTGCTTTTTAATGTAGTGCAACATTTCTGGGGCCTTGTTGTTGTTGTTTTTTTCAAGCTTTGATATTATGACCTTGATATCATTTGGTCTGAATTTAAATCACCTGATCTGTTGGTTTTTCCTATGTTTCTAGGAGATGGTTAAGTAACTGTAAAATTATTCTAAATAATTGTAAAATAATTGCTTGATGTTTTTAAATATTATGCCAGTTTTAACCTTGACTAGGCTGGTCTCTTTAGCAGAATGGTGAGTTGGTAGTGTTTTTTATTCAGTGCAAAGTCATATGGCATGTCTTTTTTTATTTTCTTCTTCTTCTTCTTCTTCTTCTTTTTTTTTTTT